CCTCTGCCTCCTGGATTCAACTGATTCTCCTTCCTCAGCCTCCCAAGTAGCTGGGACTATAGGCACACACCACCATGCCTGGCTAATTTTTTGTATTTTTAGTAGAGGCGGGATTTCACCGTGCTAGCCAGGATGGTCTCAATCTCCTGACCTTGAGATCCACCCACCTCTCGGCCTCCCAAAGTGCTTGGATTACAGGCGTGAGCCACCATGCCCAGACTTATTTACCTTTTAAGAGATACAGGGCCTCACACTGAAAAGGAGCTGTGATCTGAGGTCAGGAGTATGGGCCTGGGTACCAGCACTGCCACTGACTTGCCTCTCCCGCCTCTCCCTCAGCCTTAGTTTCCCCTTATGAAGACCTTTCCAGCTTTGGTGATCTACGATTCTATCACAGCAAATGACAGGAAGACTGAGTATCATACTAGACACATAAGAAGCTTTTAAAATATTGGTTAAATTGAGAACACCACACCAGAGGAATCGTTTCCAAGTCATGCTCCAGTTTCTTTCTCTCCTTAGGGATTCTGGACTAGAAAAGGCCAAACTTTATTTCCTAAAACTTGAATCTGAGTTCACAGAAAGTAAGTGCTGTACTTTTACTGCCTACCTCTTCCACAGGAAAACCCAGCACAGGACACAGTGGGTGCCCAGTGACAGTACAATTTTACTTCGGCCTCTGATGTACTAGTTGTTTGTTGGTTTTCATGTATTTTCATTTAGTCCTTCACCATTGTTCAGACAAGAGGCTGCAGTTTTGAGAGGTTATGTAGTTTGCTGAAAGTCACAGCTAGCAAGAGGCAAACCCAGGATTTGAACCTACATCTGTCTGACCTCCCAGCCTGTGCTTTGCACTGCACCATGCTGCCTCACAACTTCCTTGATAACATGTAGGAGTGGAGAGGTTGGGGGCTGAACAAAGTGGCTTCAGACACTTTGACTGGAACCGAGAAACAGTCTGTTCCAGGCTTCAGCCACTTTGTTCAGCCCCCAACCTCTACATTCCTACATGTTATCCAGTCTCCCCTACTGGATTCCTAGGGGTTGGAACTCACAGGGTCAATGGAAGTCAGGTCATTAAAGGATAGGTCGATCCAGGCCAGGTTCTCTGGGTGCTCCAACAGCATTGAAGCCACCTGGTTGAAGTCTCTCAGATCATTGAGAACATTGTTGTTCAACCACAGGGACTGGGTCAGTGATTTCCCCGACTTTGAACGCTTCAGTGGTCGTAGCCCTGTCCTTGGCTCCTCATTTACCAGATCTGTAAGGACAAAGTGAGACTTGCTATGTCATCTTTGCTTTTCTGGCCTTAGGGAGTGAGAAGGGATAGAGCTGAAAAGATTAGCCATCCCAGCTGTAGCTGGAGGGTCTGGAAGGGCCACAGCCCTGTGCTTGAGTCTAGTGCAACCTTGTCCCACAGCTTTCAGCAATCAGTAAAGTCTAGACTAAGGTCCAGAGACTTCTATTCCAAACTCTTGACTTTCCAGGTCATATGGACTTCTCATGTCTACTGTATCACTGGGTCTTTTGTATACCAAACCTGTGTGGGGTTGAGGAAGACTAAGGACCAGAATTGTTGGGCTTGAACTGAGAGATGATAGCACAAAATCCTGAATTAACTACTGGTAAAGCCTATAGAACTCACTTCAATGGAATACACTCTGGTATCTCCCCTCTTTCCATTAATGTTGAGTACCCACAGTATGACAGGTAGTGGATATACAGTGATGAACAAAATCAGAGTCTGTTCCAGGCTTTGTATGAATAATAGGGCAGAGAGTAGAAGGAGCTTATATGGGCAAGATGGAGCAAGCTGGGAATATGGTGTGATAAGTGCTATATAATAGTTGTAGCAGCACAGAAGAGAGGCTATTGACCCAGTGTGGGCGCTCAGGGAAGTTTCCCAGGGAAGGTGAAGCCTGAGCTGAATCTCAGTGGATTAGGAGATGTCTATCAGGCAAAGAAGGGTAAAAAGGCGGGGAACAGCATGAAGAAAGGTATAGAGGTACAGAACAGTGGGGGGTTGGGGTGTGTGTGTGTGCGCCTGCATAAGTGCCTGCACACACTGCACAAGGGGGACGAAGAGGAAAAAAAAGAGGCAGGAGTCCAGTCAAAAGTCTTGAATGCCAGACTAAGGATTTTGGGCTTTACGCTGTAGGTGATGGGAAGGCACTGGAGTGTTTAAAGCAAATGATTCAAATCTTTTATTTCAGAAAGATCACTCTGAAGCTTCAGTGTGGAATATGGATTTTAGGGAGTGAGTTGGACCGAATGACCAATTCTGAGTCATCCAAGCAAGACATGAGAGGGACCTACAATCAACATAATTTGGTTGACTGGATGTAAAGTTAGAAGAGTATTAAAGAGTGGTGGCCAGTTGTATTAACTGGTAAGAAATTACAGAAGGAGAAACAGCATTGGGAAGGTGATGACTTCAGGCTTAGCTTTGATGCTGTATAAAAAGGTGAGGAAGCCAAGTAGGCAGTTGCAGATGAAGGTCGGAAGCTCAGGAGACATACACTTGAGAATTGTTAGCATAGAAGGCATACAAGTTAGGGAAAGAGATGGGATTCCTCAGGAAGAGTGTGGGTAGAGAAGAAGGTCAGGGAGGAAGAAGAGTCCATTAGAAAAGTTAAATAATCAGGGAAGGACAGGAAAAATCAGAACAGTCTATAAGATGTTCTGGGAGTCAGTAGTTTATAGTAGTAAGTTCCAGGGAGGTAAGGACTGAAAAGTAATTCTGGCAACTTGGAAGTCCCTGATAACCTTGGTAAGGGCTGCTTCAGTGGAATGGCAGGGGCCTGGGGGCAGAAGCCAGATTGGAGTGAGTGAGTGAGTGAAGAGTGAATGGAGGCTGTGTTCATGCCTGTAATCCCAGCACTCTGGGAGGCCAAGGCAGGAGGACTGCTTGAGCCCAGGTGTTTGAAACCAGCGTGGGCAACATTGTGAAATCCCTGTCTCTACCGAAAACAGAGTGAATGGATATAAGCAGTTAGCATAAACAACATCCTCAGAAAGCTTGGCTGAAGAGGAGAGAGAATAAGGAATAGGATGATGTTAGAACCCAGGTGTATGGAACACCCCAAACCCTCACTCCCACTTCTTTTTCAAAATGAGGTCCAGAAAGAGGACGGCCTTTGTTGCCCAAGTTCAAAGTCATAGAGTCACAACCAGATGCCAGGTCTAGCTGAGGTAACTGTATTTTTCCCACTGCCCCTAAGCCTTTGGTTCTCTAGATCCACCTCTGGGGAAGGAAGTGTTTAGTATTTGCTGAAGCTAGCCAGCTTTCTTCACTCTCCCTTCGCCCTTCCACCCCGTCCTCCTCAGCTGCAGGTCAAGCAGCATCCACCAGATGGCTCTCTGCCTTAGTCCTAAAGCGAGCAGTACCCACAGTTAGGGCCTGAGGTTGCAGGAGGGTACTGGAACAGAGTACCCCAGCTCATGAATTCCTAATCCTGCCTCCCTCTCCACACCTCCTGAGAACCTGAAACAAAATAACACAGATGAATAAAAATTAAAGTCAAAATAACCCCACATGAACTAGCCCAGTATGTGATAAGGTAGCAGCTTGGGGAATGCCAAGCATAGGCTGGAGGCTGAGCTCAGAGGAACCACTGGGGGGATGGAGTTGCCTAAAACTTGATGCTGGCTAGAGCTGCTCTTATGAATGGAGTGGTGTATCCGGGCTGCCACAGGTTGCAGCTCTTCTCAGATTCCACCAACGCACTACACTGCCTAAGAATCTGTTCAGGCTCCTTGTTCAGAGTAGGCCAAGGCAAGTCTAGAAGTTGGACCACAAATATCAATGCGTTGAGAACTGGGGAGCATTTAGCTCCAGGAAGATCTGGGGAAACCATGTTCCTATTTTCCTTTCTCTGAAAGTCTGCCATGTAGGTGTTTCCATGTGTCAGAATGCAAGTCAGTTTGATAGACTTCCTTGTGTCATCCCTCAACCACAAACTGGAAGGGGTTGGTAGGTGTGTGTGGTGGGGGACTTCCTTAACACTCTAGGTTTGTGAAAAGTTAGAGGACTTGGGTTGGTGGTAGCACAGATTAGATGCCTTCCAAAGGCACTGCCATTTCAGATTCTGGAATAATTATTCATTCAGCAAATAGTGTGCCAAGTACCCCCAAACTCTGTTGTATTCTTTAGCTCCAGCTATAAATAAGTGTTTCAGAAGCTCTGGGGAATCCCAAGGGACTCTGACCTTTTGGGGCTTTCATGTGCCTCTCACACACCTAGCAAGGAGCACAATACCTGGCATATACATATGATACACAAACATATATACACACACATACGTGTGTGCGTGCGCACATGCGTGCATGTGTGAATGCTTAATAGTAAGTGCTCAGTAAATACTGAACAGTTGAATGATGGATGGGGCATCTGTACTGATAATGTTTTGTGGTGTAGAGTTATCCTTGGTACTACTTGTCTCCCAATTCTGAGGACTCCATAGAGGGCAGAGCTACACCTCCTCCCTCAGAGTTAGAAATTCCCATGATAGGTAGGAGGTATACTTCCCACCCACCTCTGTCAGTTCACCTATCTTGGAGATAGCTATTATTGCAGCTAAAACCCCTTGTGAAACATGGACTACATCAAGCAGAAGTGATGCAGTGCATGTAAAGATCACAGTAGGTGGTTATGTGCTCATGAGAGAACAAACGTGAGTTACCATTGTGGCTGATGATAACCCAAGTAGACCCTAAGCCCAATCGAAGACTGGTGCTATTTGCCAGCTCCCTGAGCTTAAAGGTGGTGGTTACCAATTGCCTGAGAGAAGACTAAAGCCAAATAATAGGTCTAAGATAGTGGATGTTAACATGTATTCTGTGAGGACAGATGTACTGATGCTTTAATGAAAGACCAGATAACAAAAGCCAGGGATGACAGAACTTCCCAAGGAAGAATGGGTGACTCATTGGAAACATGACATTGCTGAGAGCCTCTTTATGTTCCCTCCTGAAGGGACTAGCTGCCCATTTACAAAGACATTGAATGGCAAAATGGGAGTGAGTGTGGGCAGTGTTGGAACCTGCAATAAGTGTGGGTGATGATGGAATAAACTTGGACATGGCTGGAATGAGTGTAAGAAATTTGTCAGTTAAGTATTTAAACTGGAAATATGCCAGTTTGTTGATAAGACCCCTCGTGTTTGGCCAGTCAGAATAGACTTGTGTCTGTGGACAGAGGAGAAGGGTTCTGCCTACTTGCTGGGGACTTCACAGCAGCCTGTGTTTTCCTCCTCTCTTCAGGTAAAAACAGGAAAATAAAACTATTGGCTGATAGACTGGCTTCCCAGTTTTTTTCTTCCATTTGACTTTCCTACTGTAGCCTGGCTTCTTTTAAAGATGATCAAGGCTGGGTGTGGTGGCTCATGCCTGTAATCCCAGCACTTTGGGAGGCCGAGTCAGGCAGATCACCTGAGGTCAGGAATTTGAGACTAGCCTGGCCAACATGGTGAAACCCTGTCTCTAAAAAAAAAAAAAAAAAAGTATTTCAATTTAAAAAAAAAAAAAAAAGATCAAATACTGTGATAGCCCCCTGTTTCCTTTCAGACTTGCACTCAAAAAAACAAACTGGGCACATGTTCTCAGGATCTCCTGGGGCTGTGACAGGGGCAAAAATAAACAAAGGACAAAAATAAACTCTCACTCTCCCCCACCTCCAAAAGACAGTAACAACACATCTGCAAGCATATGGGAAGAATCTCTTGTAGAAGATTATGGTTTCTCCCTAGGGACCACCCTGGGCCTGCTGCCTTAGTGAGTGGAGTGCTGTGCTCTGGGGGCTGACCTTGAATGATGTGGATGCTTCTGAAGGAGTAGTCAAGAGGGGGCTCCTGTACCCAAGTGTTCATATAGTCCTGTTTGTTCATAGTTCAGGTCATCATTCATCAGGTGCAACCATGTGCCCTGGGAGTCCGGGTTCAGCCTGGGAGGACAGAGAAAGATCGGTGTTTCAAGTACACTGGCCTTCAGTTTCCCTATAGCCCTCGATCCCTGCTTTCTATCCTCTACTACTCCAGGCCTGCCTAGCTGCATTTCCATTTTAAGATATTAATCACTATTCCTTGCATGTATAGAGCACTTTCTACTTCTCAGAGCACTTTCATATCTCTTAGAACTCATTTGAGAGTTGTAGCACCCATTTCTTTGTCTGGAAAATGCCAGGTGAAGAAACCCAAGGGGTAAAAGGACTTGCCCAGAGTTAAGCCAATGAGTCAGTTGTAGGCTGCAGTCATAATCTGAATCCTACTCTAGACCCTTACTGTTACTCTACAGTAGTTACCATGGAGACTGTCTTGATATCCACCCTCTGGTGACATCAACTGGGCTATTCTACTGCTTAACAAATCCCTAAGGGCCTGCACTGCATCTGGTTGGTGTCTGACAGCCCCTCTCAGTCTGACCCAGCTGGGGATTTGCTACCTTCTCTGCTTAGCTTATCTGTCAGCCCCATTACCTTTCCATCCAAAGACCCTACTTTCAGCCCTATCCTGAATGTAGTCACACACATATAAACACATATACACATAAAACCAGAGTCCACCTCTCACTCACCTGTCACTGATGCCTGAAACTCCACCATTGGGGATTCATTCCTGTGGGTCCAGGGATTGTTCCCTGTCAAAATGGAAATATTCCCTGAGAGGGGTGAACACAATGTTATTTTCAGTCACTTGCAATGTGGTGTGAATTATCTTATCAGATCCCTTCCAATTTGTTAGCTAAAGTTAAGCTGAGGTTTTTCTGGAGACAGAGGAGAGAGCCATGAGAATACTACTCACCTGGGATAAAGAGGGCTGACAACACACTTTACCAAGGGGTTTGTATGTGAATCACACAAGCCAAAGAATGACAAGAACTTGTCCCAATCGACCTCCCCTTTCTCATTCCATCCACTGCTGCCACCTTTGTATTATTATTTGTATTATTTCACCTGCTTTCCAAAAAGGATTTCAGGTTTACAACAATAACACAGTCATAAAACAGATGATTTGCAGAATAGTGCTGGCCACCAGAATTATGTCACAAATGCAAGTCACATATATAATTTAAAATTTTCTAGTAGCCAAATAAGAAAAGTAAAATGAAGTGGTGAAATACTTTTTATACTTACAGCACATCCCAGTTTGGACTAGCCTACCTGTCAAATACTCAGTTGCTACACATGACTAGTGGCTACCATACTGGACAGTGTACAGATTACAAAGTTATAAATGGAAGAGAAAGATCAGAAACTAGATTACAGGAAGAGAGAGATGTACCAGGCACTTTAAGAATCTAAGCCTGTATTTAGCTCTGAAATTCCTGGCAGCCAAAGCAAAAAGAAACCTTGGGGGGATTACAGTTCTCATCATTGGATTCAAATGATAAATTAGTTTGCAGAGACAACAAAATTGGCAAATAGCCTTAAAATGGGATTTCTTAGGAGGCTGAAGCAGTTGGATTGCTTGAGCCTAGGAGGTGGAGGTTGCAGTGAACTATAATTGTGCCACTGCACTCCAGCCTGGGTGATAGAGCAAGACCCTGTCTCAAAAAAAAAAAAAAAAAAAGAAAAAGGAATTTCTGTTAAAAACCACGGACATATCTTATAATTCAGTTTAAGCTTAATACATTTCAAGTAAATTCCTTTTTTGGCAATTTAACATATACATGGATAGAGTTTAGCAGGTTTAGAGAAAAATGAATGTCTTGTTCTGAAAAAATAGCAGTCCCAACTGAGCTTTGGGGAAGTGCCATCTTGAGTCACTTCATGGCTTAATTCTATTATGAACTGGCTTCATGGGCATGGATTGTCAATTAGGGAGACTTGAGATATTAGGGAGACTTTTAGATATTAAATCTATAGGCAGACAACAATGAACACATTATTCTTTTGTAAAAATAGAGGAACCTGGCTGTGTACTATGGAACTAGAGGAACCTAGCTTAGACAGAAACCCATCCCACTTCAAAACCTGTAACACATTTGATACCTTTGAGCAAGATTGGATACTTTTCTCAGAGTAAATACTGGTCGGTACCCCAGAGTTATGCACCACTGAACATGAATTTTAACTTAAAATACTTAAGGGCAGATTTTTACTGTTAGTTTTCTTGCCTATCAGAGAACCCCAGTGCAGTTTCTAAGGACTTCTGATTTTCTGTAGCACCAGCTCCTGCTGCATTTTCTGAATGAATTAATATTAAAAATGGAACCCCAAGAAGCTGCTTAAGTTTTAGCATTCTGCATTTAAGCTGTAGTCCAGGCTGTGAGCTAGTATCGTGTCTTACTCATTATCCAACACAGAACCAGGTTTACAACAGGCACTCAAAAAATGTTTGTGGGATGAATGAATGAGAAACTGCTAAATCTGAGGATTCTGTTTCAGAAGAGTTGATGTTAAGTTGTTCTTTCTAACAATTGGCTCCCAGGTTCAGCTGTTTCAGTCAGCCCACACCTTGTTCACAGCAAGATATTCAATTCAATTCAGCAAACATTTGTTGAGTGCTTGCTGCCCTGTACCTGACCAGAAGAAATGAAGCCAAGATACAAATAATAGAACCCTGTCATAAGCACAGAAAGACCTGTGGAGTTTCTATTGATTGTGGCAAACCAGACTGCATCCAGTTCCAAGTAACGCCCACTTAGTGAATATTCTTTCATGTGTCAACACTCAGCTGTAGTATACCCTCTTCTATAAAGCCTTTCTTTTCCACATAAAATTGGTTAATGTGTCCTGTGTTAGGCTGATTATTTTGATGATTTCTATTCATGGTCTCCCCTGTATCCATTGCTTTTTGCCTATAACATTGTAGTCCCATCTCACTCTGATGCTGGGCCCAGACATGGGACTTGTTTTAGCCAGTGGGATGTTGATAAACATGAAGCCAACAGAAGCTTTAAAGGGGGCCTGCCCTCTTGCTCTTTGCCTGTGCCATGAGAACATGGCTGATCTGCTAGAGGGTTATAAGAGACGTGAAAGAGCTGTGATTCCAGCTGAAGCCACTCTAGACTAGCTTACAGTCAGCTTACCCCTAGTCAAGATCAGGAGAGTCACCCAACCATGGGTGACAGCAGACACATGAGTAAGCCCAGCCAAGACCAGAAGAACCATCCAGCTGACTCTGACTTAGAAGCAATAATAAATGTTTATTATCCTAAGCCACTGTGTTTTGGAATGGTTTGTTAACACAGCAAAGCTAACTTCTACATGTCCCCACGGTATTTTGAACAAAATTTTATTACAGCCTGTTTACTCATCTATGAAATGGAGACAAACCCTACCTTGAGAACTACTGTACATCTGGCTTCAGGTGCTCAATAAATGGAAGCAGTTGTATTCTCTGTTAATTTCTTTACAACCTACTTTCTTTGCCCTCCCTATAAGCTTGAGAACAGGGACAAGACTCAGATTCTTTCTCTCTCCCTTCTCATCATTACCCTGCATTGAGCCTGGCAAAAAAAAAAGAAAAAAAAAAATGCATATTCACTAAAGGTTTGATGGACAATTGAAAATGGATGGATGAATGGAAAAATGAAAAAAGAAATAAGGAATTAATGCAGTTTTCAAGGTGTCATGTTGAGAGCTTGACTGCTGGGGAGAACTGACAAAGCCTTGATGCAACCATGCTTACTCCTGTGGCTGTGTTTTTGGAGTCAGTCTTTCCCAGCTGCTATTCTGGCTTATGACCAGGAGATAATCAGGTGCCAGCACCTTCATCTGTCCAGATGGACTGACTTGAAGAATGACAGGGTTAGGGGCATACCTGCCTTGTTTCGGAACTGGAATTTCTCATTTCCAAATTAACAGTATCTTTAACTGTTTTGTTTTTTAATTGTAAAAGCTAATATGATAGGTGAATAAAGTGAAGCAACATAGAAAAGTACATCAAATAGAAACTTAAAAGTCTGAGGCTGGGCATGGTGGCTCACGCCTGTAATCCAAGCACTTTGGAGGCCAAGGTGGGCTCCAAAGATCGGATCACCTGAGGTCGGGAGTTCAAGACCAGCCTGACCAACATGGTGAAACCCCATCTTTAAAAAAAAAAAAGAAACTTAAGGCCGGGCGCGGTGGCTCAAGACTGTAATCCCAGCACTTTGGGAGGCCGAGGCAGGTGGATCACAAGGTCAAGAGATCGAGACCATCCTGGTCAACATGGTGAAACCCCATCTCTACTAAAAATACAAAACATTA